ATAATAATAAATTTTAATGTGAACTTTTATAGGAACTAAACCTATCAAATATTTTCGCTCCTAAACAACAATTTAAACAATTAACAAGATTAAACCATTAAGTTTATAATGAAATTATTTACTTATCATAGCCTGAATATTTAAACTTAAACAAAATTTAACCTTATTACTTCCAAGTTAAGTCATTATCATTTCTAGTTGCCATAAAACCTATTAGTACCAATAACCCACAAATTATTGTATTATTTCTGTAATCAATTATGATTGGCAGATGTCATGTTCGGAGTGAATTTAAAACTGAAAAGAGTCTATTGTCACACAATTTAATTTGTGTGCCATACAATGACATAGGGAAGTTCGAGAGATGAACCAAAATTCGGGCTAGGGCCTTGTAATAATGGCTCATCAAGAGACGTCGTCTTTAGCCATATGTCGTCCAGCGTTTCAACAAATTTTTTTATGCATAAATTCATAATTTAAACATTTCGGGGCCTACGCAGTTGAGAGCTTTTGCGGCCAAAGAGTGCGTAGTGGCGGGGGCGGCTGTCAACTGGCCCATCAAGTGGGCCCGAAAAAAATAGACACAAGAAAGGAAACTAACTTTGGGAATCAGAATCTCATATACCCTTGCAGTTTGCTATTAACTTATGATCACATCTATTTTTAATAATATTTGTATTGTATGAATCGGTATATATTGATATTTATATATGACCATTTGTCGAAAAATTACGGTTTAAAAAAGCAATAATTTTAATTTGGAAAGCTTTGATATGTTAGTTTTTATTAGTTTAATAAATTTTTGCATACTCAATTTCAAATTTACAAAAAATTTGAAATTTTTTCCCAATTTTTTACATTTTTAACGTGGTATCCATTTATAAAATTTTTTAAAATTGTAAAAAATAAAATTTTAGACGAACAAAGCTAGATCAACTCGGCTGTTAATGCTGATCATGACTATATATAATATAAAGGGTCAGAAATGATTCCTTCACAGCGTAACAAGCTTCTGATTGAAATTTTAATACCCTGTAAGGGTATAAAAAACCATTTGGATAGACGAAGCTTCCTCCAACTCTTAGTGCCTTAGTGACCCCCTACCCAGTATTTGAATATATATTTATGTTTGTATATATAGTATTGTGCTCGTGGGTCTTTTGTGTGACTACACGCGGAGAAATATATCAAGAAAATCGGTATTTAAGTACCAAACACTTTTTATGATAGAACTGATCTCTCTACCTTGGAACATCTTTATAGATATTTATTTTTATAAAAACATTTAGATGAATTGATACTAGGTATATTAAATTTAGTAATGATTGTTATTTTAGTACACTCTTCTATTTTCTGTTCTTTCGAATTTGTTGCCATAATGCAGATTTTTGGAGTAACTCCTTCTGATTTTTTGGGCTTTTTTGAAAACTTCTCCGCCACCTCATCCCGAACTCCATTGGATTTACGGCGGTCCAGTGTACACCCGGCCGGTCGCATTTGGAAATCTCGAAAACTTGTTTATCCAACACACAACACAAGCCCACAAACACACTCGCACACACACACACACACACACGGCAAAGAGATGAGGGGAAAAAAATTATAAACAAGTTTTTTTGTTTTGTATTTCGGCTCGGCTGTTGTTGTTCTTCCTCGTGCCTCTGTCTTTGCCCCTAGCCACCCCCTCTTATGGTGCTCTTTGTGCTTTTTACTTCTTGCTTGTGTTTTGTCGCTGGTTTCGTAATTTATTCTAAAAGCGTTCCGTTTTGGCTCTATATAGAGAATAAACATATATATTTATACACACACAAGCCGCCTGCCTCGACATACGTACAAACATTTATATATCTTTTATACAATGTGGATGGATATATGCCATGGTGTGTATTTGAATAAAAGTAATACTCTGAGTGATATTCGGATATGACATATCACTTGTGAGCTGTTCTTGTATTATGCAATCATGTTATTGTTTTAATTTTAATACGGCAAGTATAAAATGTGATAAAATATTTATAAAACTGAATATAACGTAATATTTGAATGATCCTAAAGGGATTTATAAGCTTTATCTGTCTTAATTGTTTAGTTAATTCCCCATTTTTTAATAATTACATTTTCTCTTGTATCCCCTTAGGGTATTTATAATTCGTTGTATTTTCATGCTTTTCCTACCTAGTTTTGTTTTGTTTTCTTTTGAGCTCTGAATTATTCAAAATAACACTTTTGGTCTATTTGCCTGTATTGTTGTTGCTGTACGCCTCAGCGCTTTTGAAGTGGGTGCAACACAAAAACAACAATATGGTTATATGGTCGCAATATCTGACGATCTCTAAAACCACAAAAAAAAAACAACAACAACAAAATACAAATAACAAGACGCGTAGCTTTATTGAACAATTCAATTTTGCACGAATCGAGTTACCAGCCTGCGGTTTGGGATGTGCAATTGTTTAATAACAATAACATTAAAAGAGGAATTAACAATTACAATTACAAATCTCGCACTTTTTCCACCTTATTCTCAAACTTTAACTTTTGGCCTGTCTCTCTCTTTCTCTCCCTCTTTCAGGTGCGCCTGTCAAAATGTGACAAGTGCCGGGAAAGAAGAAATGAGGGGAGAATAGGGAGATTTAACCTTGAAAAGTGTGGACAAGACAACATGGCGATGACGCAGAGATTCTGATTTCGATTCTTTTTCGGATTTGGATGAGAAGGTAGAAACCCCAAAAGTATGATGGAAAAATACAGTACAATTAAATAATAACCATTACATGGCAGAAAATGGTGAGGTAAGCTCTATTCCCGCAGGAAAGTACACAATAAAAATAAGGCAAAAAGTACTTCTTATTTATTTATTTATTTATGCAACCCCACAAAATAAACAACTTATTCTATTAGTCTAAATGTGTAAATAATTCCTGTTCTACAAATAAATAAACACCTCTATGCATTAAAGAGTAGAGGAAGAGTTCTTAATGGTAAATTTATGAAAGGAAGCCGTAAACTTTATGGCACGCTAATGTCAAATATAATAGAACCCGTTTTTATGGCTCCAATTTATGCACATAATTTGACAGAAATATGAAATAAATAAATGACTTTATAAACGGCAAAAGTAAGTAACAATGGAAAGTTTCAAAATCCCTATTTATTTGTTAATAAAAACCTCAAATAAACAACTTATTTATTTCTTTAAGATATATATCGAGCATTAAACCTAGGGAGTTTTAGTGGAAGATTTTCATGACAGAGTTTTAGAAATAATAATATTTATTCCTTTTTAAAATTTACCCGAAATAAACAAGAATGACTAATGGAAAGTTCTTTGTGGGATGTCTTAAATTGTACCTATTTCTTTTGCAAAGTACAAATAAACAACTTAACACTCAAAAATATAGATATGGTAAACAGTAAAAAATAGCAACAAGATTATAACAAGATATTAAAGGAAACAGAGCTCAATTATTTATAAGCTTATAAACTCTGTAAATAAACAAAAATAATTTTCATAATTTCTTGGAAGAAGATTAACACAAATGCCCTAAAAGTTTAGAGAAACCCGGAACATCCTAAGTAAAGAGTGCCAAAAAGTGGAAAAGTGTAATTATTAACCCATGAACTTTTGCCAACTGACTTCAACACTTAACCCCTGAATGCGAGGAACCGCCCTTTTTGTGTGACGTTTTACTTTAATTTTATTTTTTGTGGGTTCTTTTTGGTAGCGAAAACAAAGTGGAAATTCTCGGTACAAAATTATGCAAATTATTTACAACTGAGGGCGTGACAAATGGAGGGCAGAGGCGCATAAATCATAAAAACGCGAGTGAAAACGACGAAAAGTAACGTGAGGGAAAAACAGAAGCTGACGCAGGAAACTAAAAATACGAAAATACCGGCGATCAGGTTAAAAAAAAGAAGAAATAAAGAGAAGCGAACGAAAAAAGAAAACAGGGTGTTCCTGTGTGAAAAGGAGCGGCGGTTAAACAGGTGCGGGGGAGGGGGGATCCCGAGGAGCGGAAGATGGTGGACAGAGGAGATAGAAAGAGATGCGAGAGTTGCACTTGGGCAGGCCAAAAATAAACCAGAATGTGAGGATTGCTCACGATTTTCCCATGAGCAGCGAATGGATGACCCTATTTTTCCGCTTCCCTGCCCCTCCCGACCATTCCCTATATCCCTATCCCTATCCGTATCCCGTCCCTTCCACACCATTTTCCATGCCCATTCCCATTACTATTCCCGGTTCCCGATTCCAGGCCTATGTTTGCCTTCCGCGTGTGGCTGCATGTGTGTGTGTGTGTGTGATTGTGCGTGCCTTAAGAATAGGCGGCGCAGGCAGAAACGGCGAAAAGCAAAAGCAAAGGCAAAAGCCATAGGCCGGCACACAAAGCATAAAGAACGATAATAAACACACACCAGCACACGTCGCGGCACAATACAAGGCAAATACAGTGAATACAGCTAAACAATTACCCGATTTAAGGGGAACCTAAACTAGTTTTCAGCTCTCTGAGATTATATCGCATAAAAGCGGATATAGAATTGCAAAAATAATCGCTTATGCACTTCGTTTATATCCCTTGAAGTTTTACTTTTAATAAATTTGGGATTAATTGTATTTAAAACAAGTAGGGAAATTATTGTTTGTATTTTAAATAAACCGTTCTAAGATTCATAAAGTTTAACGGATAAGTTTTCGTCAGAATATTTCAATATTTAATTAACTGATTTCTTTGTTTCTTTGCTCTGGAATATCCACTGTATTCCCGCGAGAGCATGAGCGAAAGAGAGCGAGCAAGCATAGGCCTTTTTCGCCCATTGTTGTTGCTTTTTATGCTGCGCTGTTGGTGCCTTTGGCTTTGCCTTCCCAATCAATACTGGAACATGCTCTCTTTCGCTCTCGCTCACTCTAACGTACACACGAGAATCGTATTCAGAACGATAGCACTAATCGGGTGACGAACTATATAGAAAATACATATGCAGATATCACTTACGTTCTTGAAGAAGTCCATGAACTGGCTGTGGTAGATGAAATCCCTGGGATATTTCTGCTGAAACACCTGCGACAGTAGGATCGACAGTGGGACTTCGCCGGCTGGTGTCCCGCTCGCACCTGGATTGCCATTGCCGTTACCGTTAGAATTGAACCCCACTCCACCGCTGGTGCTGCGCTGCAATTTCGAAGTTGATGCAACGAAATTCGAGCATTTGCACGAGATCAACATGATTTGTTTTTGTAGCTTTTTCTGTTTTTGCCGGGTCTCTATGATAACGGTATTTGCCTGCTGATGCTGTACACACACAAACACTTTCTTCTTATTTCACTCTGGCGTAGGAAAACACTTTAGCTGTTCTTCTTTTATTCTTCTCTTCACCTCCTTATTTATTTTTCGGCAAGCGCAAAACAACAACAACGACGACGAAGGATTCACGCGTAGTTGACCGTTTTCTTATGTTTGAAGTCGATTTTGAATTAAAATATATACTCTTTAGTGTAGTCAAGAGTTTAGTAGCATTTGTGGGAGTTATCAGATCGAGTTTTTACGAGTTTATTAAAGCGCTTGCAACCAAAGTGGACGAAAACAATCGAAAATCAGCCGACACATTCGCACCCACAACCGACCGATTCAATTTTTTTTTTCGACTTTTTTGTTTTTTCGATGTGCGAGTAGAGCTGCGCAAAACATCGATGAAAATATCGATGTTCTAAAACGATAGTATCGATATTTTACAAACAAAGCGTTAACAGTGCTGGTGAATTTAAGAAAATGAGAGACTTAACAGAGAAGTGCGGGTGAAATGGAAAAGAAACTTAAGAAGAGATTCTGGTGAATTAAGAGAATACAATATAAGTTGTAATTGTGATTTCAATGACTGTTTTTAATATTTAGTATAGAAATTAAATTAGTTCATTTTTTAACATAATTAATTTATAATATATAAACTTTGCAACTGTTAATTTGTTATGCGTTTCTTAAAATATGATTTGTTTAAAATAGACATATGAGAGTCTCGATTCAAAGGTAGGTAGGTTACAGTGGTGAGGCCCGTTGCTGGGGCCTCGATTCAAAGAATGCGAATATTTTGAAGGTAGTTGGTCGATTCGTTTTAAAATTCAATTAAAAGTGTTTGTTTATAGATTTTCCGAAGTATGTTTTCTTTCTTGTTGCTTGTCGTATTGATAGGCAGAAAACGTTAGCGCCACTTACAAAACATGACCGATTATGAACTATCGATGATTATCTTTAGCTAAGTTTCACACTTTCAGTTTTTTTTTCTAGTGCTGCCAGACCAATCAGAAAGTTTGAAACCTATGACAAAAAAGCGGGAAACGTTGCTTTAAAGACGTTATTAAACAATTTTTACAACTGAAAACAATGTAAAAAATGTGCCAGTTTTATTTTAGTTCTTTAATTAGGAAGATGAGATTTATCTTAAATTTTCGCTTATTTAAAACACCTTATTGTAGACAAGAACGTTCGGACATAGGTAATGCTTTTAATCTTGTTTTTCTTACACCTTGAATTATTCCATTACAATCGAATGCCTAGACACAAATTATGAAGCCACGCTTTAATGAGACATTAATTTAGCTACAATTACCTTCCGAGGCGATTCCTCCTTCCAGAAATTTCTGTTGTGTTCCTGTATTGCATTTTTTAAGCAGTACTTCCGGTTTCGCACTGATCCTTTTTGGCCACAGTAGAATTTCGTTAAATAATATCAGAAGGGTTTATTTTCTTGAATAAGCTATTTATTATTAAAATTGACAAGAAAACTATGTATATTCATTAATAACATTTGGTAATTACTCTTTATTAAATGAAAAGTGGCTATATATAAAATATTTAACAAATTCAATAAAACCTTGCATTTCATTGCAAGTTTTAATTTAAACTCTTTGAAGTTTTATTGGCGGCAATGACAAATGTCTGCTTAGTTTTACGGACAAGTTATTTGCTATCAGATCGTAAGAGATTGACCCAATTTGGAACCGAGTGATAGAAACACACGAATTAAAGAGGTAAAAGTTGGAAATACAGAGAAAAAATCTTGGTTTTATTTTATACAATAAATATATATATTTAGTATATATTTTTTAGGAATATTAATAGGATACTTTTAATATTTAATTAATATTTATAAAATTTGATTGGGATTATGACTTCTGTATTATGAAATAATTGTTAATGTAATTTGTAAATAATATAGAAAGTATTCTTTAATATTCTCTAAGTGCTGAAAACCAAGTTCAAGCTGCATAAGCTCGCCTGTAGTCACAAATTGCCCCACAATTTTAAGGGGCTCCTTGACTTTCCCAATTCTGGTGCTGGAATTGGAGCGAGCTGTGGCTTGGAGCCCGCCCCCTCGTCATCGTTGCAGTGTCAATGAACGCGGCTTCAGGCAAGACCGGCAATCAAATTACAAGCCCGGCTCTGTGACGTACTGATCGGCTCTCTGAATCCCCCTTACTGATTGCCCAAAATAAACAACGACTCGATACCGAGAGCAGTTTCGCTTTCATCGCGGCGCTCGGTTTGTTTTAGTTGGTTTTTTTTATTTCTGCTGCCTTTTTTAATGGCTTGATACCTGTTCACGTGCGTTTAGCCACTGGCGGAGTTTATAAAGGTACGGATCGCAGCGAAGGGCGCCACAGTTTCTCAGAAAGACGCGAAGCTGCGTGGTGAAGCCGCGCTCCAAAATCAAACACATATTTTTCAAATACCCGCGTGTTTTTTTTACTTCAAACATAAAACGGAAAATAATAAACAAACAAACGGAAATAATAATAAACAAAAAAACGGACTTGTTGAATTAAAAAGCGGTCACCAAGGACAGTTCTACACTGATTGGATAATCATTGTGTGCTTCGCCTTTGAAAAGTAGGTCGATTTGCAAATTATAGTGTTTGAATTAGTGTTTGTTTGTATTTTAATTAAATCCGGGATTTGAATTCAAAACCATGCCTTGACCTCTGAGTAGCCAAAATAGAAAAAGCTTTGTTCAGAAAAGGAGCAAAAAGAAAAACACCTTTTTTTTTGCTTATGACACTTTCATTAATAATCAAAAAACAAACCAGCAAACATGGCAAAACCAGACTTAGCTTTTGCGAATATTAGTTACAAAATCATCACAGAAACTAGCAAAGAAAAAAAACTGGGCTATCGACATCCCGATTTGCTGGCAAACTTAAGGTGAAGGTTCATTTGCATACCAAAAAAAAATATATATATACAATTCGTTTGGATGCGATGAAGCCAAGCGCAGATTTACGCAGATTTACGATTTACCCTTGAAACGGATTCATCCAAAAGCCATTAGCTGCCATAAAATGCAAACTGGCTATCTGAGGGGCTTTTTACATCTATTTTGCCCACTTGGCGACATCTTCAAGAGCAAAGAAAACACTGGAATTGCCTGTATTATACTATACTATATATACTATATGGTCTTAATGCCCACGCCTGTGCCAAAATTGGCGAAAAATCAACACCCGGGGGGAATATAATTCTCGCATTTCTAACGAAAATCAACCTAAGTCAACATCGTTTCGGGATAAGTAGTATTTATTTTTAAGGCAAAAATCAATTTTGCGAATATAATTTATGCATGTAAATTCTGGACGCACGTGTCTTGTATTAATTAATAGAAATATTTCCCAGGCACACGCACAACTTATAGTCGTTGACCTCTGGCCAATTTCGCAGATACAATTTTGTATATTGGGCCTCATAAAAAGTGATAACATTGAACTTTGGTAATGAATAAATAGTGTCTACTTGAGACCTTATGAATCAGTGCGAGTGACAAGTTCGATTGGTTTTATATTTTGTAATTTTTTTGTAGGTTTTGCAAACCTTCACGTTGACTGCTCACAGTATATTTTCGCAGATGAATTTCGCTTGAATTCATCAAACTAATCCGCAACAATGAAGTGGCACTGACATTGAGACGCACTTACGGCTTGGATGGGGCTAATTGTTTATTTGGATTGAACTCCAAGTTGCAATCGAGCGGCCACTTCCATGTTCTGCGAGCTCTCAAGTTACGCACTTCCTTCTTTCTGAGAATTTTTACAAAATTAACCCTCTATGAAATATCTTAATCTTATAAATGGAAGCAGGAGAAAGTGGAAAGTTTGATTTAGACATGAACTATATATATTTTGAGTGATTTTTAGTGGGGCATTAATTCTATTAGATGCTTGTAGATTATTAAATAAAATTTACCAGGTTAAGAAAGGGTTAATTACACTTTAAAGAGTCAACAAAGCTGAAACAGTCAGAGGCTTCACACTTGAGTCACAGCCTCTCCTCTGTGTGCCCATCTCTTCCGGTAGGAAGTCATTGTGATCATGTTTATTTTACCAAGTTCTTCCCACCTTGAAGTTCCCAACTGCAACTCCTCTTGCTATCTTCTTTCAGCTGCCACTTGTTAGCAGTCCATCGGCATGAAGGGGCACTGGAGAGTGGTCATAACAGTGGTCATCTTGTCCATCTTGGCCATTGATGGAGCCATCAACGAATCATCATTGCGCCGACATCGCTATGATTATGGCCTTGTCAATGCCAGCCTGGACTTAACAAAGGACCTGATCACCTCAGATATCCTAGCGGAAGAGAAGCAAATTAGTCTGCAAACCAAGCACGAGCCACACCTCATCCGGAGCTCGGTGATCTTTGGGCTAACCAAAGCTTCAAATGAGAGTAAAGTGGGTTCCAGCTGCCATGCCCAGCTACAGCAAGTGCAGCGGGGAATTCTTACCAAGCAGCCATGGGCCATGAAGGGTAAGTTTCCTAGAAATGGTAAATAAGGATATATATTAAATGACATCTTACCTTCCCCAGTTCTCGATGCCTCGGGCATCAAGCCATCGGGCTTCGTTTTTGGTCAGAACTATTGGCTCGGAAGCCGGGAGGCCTGCCGTGGCGTCCAGGGACCCGTGGGCATTACGTTATCCCGGAATTATGAACGTGTGATGCATTATGGGATACTCACCCAACAGGCCCCCTTCGACATGGACTATCGTGTTATATATCTGCGCCACCAATCGCCCTGGCAGGTGGAGATCAAGGTCATGTCCGAGCAGGTCCTGCACATTGGCCTGTGCCTGCCCAGCGCCTGTGGCTCCGAGGAGGTCAAGCAGCTGGCCAGGGATTACGTAGCGGAGGGCACATTCGCCGAGGATGACATCTTTGATATGCAACCGGAAGTGCTGTACATGAAGGACCTTAAGTTGAGTGAGCGTTTCTTCCAGCGTCCAACCTTTAGGTTGGTGGTTGCTGCTCTCCTGGCGACCGGAGCTCTGATGCTCTGCTCCCAGCAGCTGCGAGTGGCCAAGCGGGGAGATGAACCGGTACCGGGTCTGGCTCCTGTCGAATCCGAGCTGTGGCAGGCGCTGGACTCCCTCCTCAAGTGGCAGCCCCTGCAGAATGTTGTTTCCTGCTTCGATGTGGCTGACAATTGGCGAAAGATATCCGCCATGCGAGAGAATCGGTCCGGGGAGATTCCCATTATGAATGGCCTAAGATCTGTGTGTGCCATCTGGATCCTCATATTCCATGTGGTGTGGTACATGTACTTTACCGTGCACAACAAAACGGTGCTAATCTCTTATGCCGAGAAGGCGGCCTTTCAATATGTTTCAACAGCTCCACTCCTTGTGGATGTTTTCTTTACAATTAGGTGAGTGTAGAGGAGGTTCTTATTAGATTTTATATAAATAGTCTAAACCCTCAGTGGCTTCCTGCAAACCTACAATTTCCTGAGGAACACCAAACAACTGGAGGCAGTGCGTCGTAATGGTCTGACTGGCAATGTGAAGCTCTTTGGCAAGCTCCTGTTCCATCGCTATCTGCGTCTGGGTCCACTCTACCTGGTGGTGATGGGCAGCGTGGACCTGGCCTTTGCCTACATTGGAGACGTGTCCGTCTTCCACATCAACGAACGATTCGATGAATTGTGCACGGAGCATTGGTGGCGTAACCTGCTGTTTATCCAGAATCTCTTCGATCATCGCGAGATGTGTGCCAATTGGAGCTGGAGTCTGGCCTGTGACATGCAATTCTTCCTGCTGGCCAACCTGGTGCTCTTCATCTATGCCAGGTGAGTGTCGTCAGGAGAAGATTAGGAAGGCATATTCACAGAATTAACTCCCTTACAGACACCCAAAGGCGGCCAAGGCAGTGACGCTGGCTGGACTTGTGGCCACTATAACCTGGTCCTATGGCATCGGTATTAACCACAAGTTTGAGTTCTCCTTCGATGCCACCTATGCAACCGGCACCCAGATATACACAAGTCCCTTTGTGAGGATCCTGCCGTATATTGTGGGTGCTATTGCTGCCTGGTGTCTCCAGGAGCAGCGCTTCCAAATGGAGCTAAGCGAACAACAGATCCGCTGGTTATGGCACTTCAGCGTCCTGGTCTTTTTGGGTTGCATCTATTCCACGGTGAAGCGGGATCTGGGCCATCTCATCACCATATCGCTGTTCGTCCTGGGGCGAGCTCTGTTCTCGCTCACCGTTTGCTGGATGGTGGTGGGCAGTGCCACGGGTAGCGGCGTCTGGTGGTCACGATTGTTGGAGGCCAAGTGCTTCCAGCACCTGAATCGCCTTACCTATGCCATATATCTCCTGAATCCTCTGGTTATAGCTCTCATCTACAGTCTTACCAGTACGAGTTCCGCTGCGGATCCCTTTATGCTGGTGGGTTATACTACATTTGTTGAACCCCTCAGCTTTATATTAATAATAATTTACTTTTTTTAGAGCGTAGTGTGCTGCGGCTTCACCATGATCGTATACCTCGCCTCCATTGCCTTTTCGCTGGCCTTTGAGCTGCCATATAGCAATCTGTCTGGATTGCTGCTCAGACGCGAGGGAAAGCCCAAGAGCACCTGAACTGTGATTACCACCTTCCATTGTTAGCATTGTATCTAAGTCAGTTATTGCTAAGAAATTTTAGATTTACATCAGATTTCTCTTGGTTTTCTTTATTTTGGGATTCACTTTTGATTTATGTGACATTGAATTTTTTCAATTAATTAATTTGTACCACTCTGGATTTAGTTAGACTTTAAAATAATTTGAAAGATTTTGGGAACTGTGGATCAGTTGTAAGAAAACACGCGCGCATCCAACTCGTATCGCCTCAAGCGCTCATGATATTGGCCAAAAAAGAAGGCCTCAGCTTTCATCAGCATGTAGGCCCTGTAAAATGATTCGGAATTATACCTATTGTTGTACAGCCACTGGCAATGAGCGGGCATCCTAGTAATCTGGTTAAAGGGAAGGTCCATTTCGCACGGCATATGTAGGGTGACGAAATTGAATGGCATTGTCACTTCAGCAAGAGTAGTGGGTCCTCTTTTCCTGCGAATATGCTTAACCACAGTTTTCTCAGTGACCATTTCCTTCGCCGGTTCCGTGGAGTTCGTCTTGCCCCGCGTCGCGTCCAGAGAATCGCTTTTGGTTGCGTTTTTTCTCTCTGTTGGCAGAGAAGGTGTCATTATTGGAACGACAGTGGCTTTGGCTGAGGACAGATCTGTTTCAAGGGGAATATGCTTAATTCGAGTGGGCACATTTTCTGTGGTTCTGATGGGGGTAACGGTTCCATGGACCAATGACTGTGAGAAGGTCTCTGAGGCAGTGACATTTCCAAATGACAACTGTGGCGAATTTTCTTTTTTATTTATGTTTTATTTTCTATTAAGTAACTTACCGTTTCGAATACAAGAAAACAAAAAAGAACAAATAAACAATTCATTACTGATTTGTTGTTAACTAACTCATCCGGACAGTAAGTAAAAAATATAATTTAGGTAATTTTGACAACAAACTCAATACTTTGTTGGATAAATTTAATTTAAATTTATCAAATTGAGCTTAATGAGTTTCATATTTAAGAAAATACATATATAAAATATAAATTTTGTACATTTGCAAAACATTTTAACTAAAATAATTTCAATTGAAGTCAACTAAAGTGAAAAGATTGTAAATTTCCAATCGTTTAATACAGTTTTTTTTTAATTTTAAAATTAAAAAAAAAAAAAGAAATTAATAATTAATTTAGGTGTGTCCAGCTAGTGTGAAAGAAGAAATAACTTATTTAACGCTTCCAACTAAGCTTTCTGGGTGAAAACTAGGATTTTTCGATACCTATTATTATTTGAATTTGGGTTGATATAGAACTATACGATAATTTTGTTAAAATTGAATTTATTTATTATAATTGTTAATCAATTGTATTCCTTACAAGAGAATTCTACCCCTTGTAAACGTAAAAAATTTTAATCTATACGTGTAAGATGTAAAATTTTAAATAACAGCTTCGGAATTCAGAGTGACCAATACAAAAATATCAATTCTGTTAATTTACATCCACCCGACAGCCAACCAGAGGAAATTCTGTTAAGTTGCGCTTTTTCTCTCTGGATGAGTGTAGGTCTGTTAATACATTTCACTTCCTACATGCATATTACATTCTACACCAGTATTTTACGTGCTACTTGAGAATTCGACCCCAAAAATTAGTATTCGACTCCATGTATCTGTAAACGTGTAAAACCGTTCTGTAAACGAGTAAAACCGTTCTTTAAGCGTGTCAAATGTAAACCAAAAAGAAAAACAACAAAATCAGCAACTGGCGTCTTAAAAACAAATTAAAAAAAATAAAATAATTAATAAATAAATAACAAATTCGGAGGACTTCAAGATGCCCAAAGAGGACGCGGAACTGGTGGGGAACTGTCCGGCGCCCGCCAAGGACAGCAACGAGGTGCCCCCGATGGAGAGCGTGGTCAAGGAGCCCGAGGAATCCCGTCCTGCTTCTGCCCCTGGTTCGGCCACGCCCCCGCCCGCCGAGGGGGAGGCGGACGAGGCGGAACTACTGGAACGCATGCGTGGAGACGCCGTGGGCGAGACCATGTACAGCCGCCGGTTCATCCTGCAGACGGTCATGAAGCTGGTGCAGCTGCAGCCTGATTCGCCACTGGAGCAGCAGCTGGAGGACGACCTGTGCAAGGTGTGGGACATGTCCGTGTCCCCGGAGGTGGTTACTCTTCTGCTGGAGAACGATGCCGTCGATCCCATAATGTACTCCTTGATGGACGGTTGCGAGGATGTGCGACTCTATGAGATTCTTGTAGGACTGCTGGGCAACATGTGCGCCCAGGTGGAGTGCGCCGAGCTGCTCACCTGCTCGCCCCAGTCGATGGAGACGCTGTTCAAGCTGGCCAACTGCATGGACACCGGGATGCTGATCCAGCTGATGCGTCTTTATCAGTACATCATGGCGCATGTGCTGAGCGGCAAGGAGCAGTTCGCCGTGGACTGGTATGTCTGCTTCGCCGCTTTCGAGAACTCGGCCCAGAATCTGGGCAGGATACTGCAGCAGTCCGTGAGCGATGAGCTACTGGTAGCCGCACTGAAAGCTACAAATGCCATCTTGGCCAGTTGCGCCCTGGTGGAGGAGGAGAATGCCAACTCGTCGCTTAACTTGAAGCCCTTTGCAGAGGTATTTCTCGTACAGGAGCTCTGCGACGGTGTCAATAGCGCCTTCCTGCGACTTATGCGCGATGATCAGGCTAAGCTAGCCGACGAGGAAGGAGGTGAGGAGAATGGAGAAGTACCAGCCGCTGCCGGCGCTGCAGCCACAGACAACGATGAGGATGCCGATGTCGGATACGAGTCGTGTTCTCCGAAAATAACCTGTGATGTGGAGATCATACAAACCTACCTCAACATATGCACCATTCTGGTTCAGCTGCCAGAGGCGCAGGCCTCCATGGATGTGTATGCGCCCAGCATAGTAAGTTGCCTGACGCGAATCCTAGAATTCCTGCAGCAGCCGCTACAACTCATTCCCTTGGGCGAACGGCAGGAGGAGTATCTGGAGGATCTGGCGCACATATGGAGTGTGAGTTGTCTCTCCTTGGTTATTTGTTAATGTATATTAATTGATATTTTTCCTTTTATTCAGCGCCTCAAGTATTGCTATCAGAAAGAGGCGTTTACAAACCTTCTGGAAATCTGGTACAGGCTAAAGCAGCACACGGATAACTATACAGAGAAGGATGAAGAGGCCAACGATTTCGAGGAGGAGGATGAAGAGGACGCTCCCAAAGAACAATATGTGGAGAACGCATTTAAGATGCTACGGCTGCTGGCTTGCGTTTTGATTAAGGAGGTAAACGCAAATCTAAAAGAGATGGACAACGAGAAGGTGCGGCTCTTTGTGGCCTCCTTGAAAGCCGAGGACGATGCCATCTTTTCCAAAGCCCTCGAATGCTTGAGCGATTTTACGGATAACGAATCGGAGGGCCAAGCCTAAAGAAAATACTTCCATGAAGGGAAAAAAACAAAAATGACTGAGATTGTAGCTTACAGCACAATATATTCTTAACTTAGTGAGCTGCTCTTCTGCATTTAACTAGATGAGGATGGTTTAGTGCTAATATTCTGGAGTTTCTGACGCATCATATCACTCCACGACTGTTTGCCCAGGCGTACTCCCTTCTGTCCCGTGCTACTAACCATCAACTTGTGTTGGTTTTCATTGCTGAGGAGAAATCGACTCTTGTCCTTGCTTAATGCGTGCGCCAAGTGCTCCAGTTCCGTGTCCAAACTGACTACCGAGGCTCCCACATCGATATTGAGATCCTGCTCAATTGTCTGTGATATGTAAATGACCGCCTCATCTGTCAGGTTCTGGGCATCGATCTTGTTGTGTCCCACGAGCTCGGAGAGCTGTATATTCAGGCTGCCACCTTTGGTTACCACCTGGAGATTGCCATGGACACCAGCTGGAAGTTTTAGAGCGAGATTACACTGTTTGCGGTGTACTTGAGGCATTTACTCACTCATGCTTAGGTCCGCCGAATCATGGACATGAACTTGACTGGTTTTATGGACATTTTTTAGTTCTAAACGTCCAGTTTCCGTCTGGAACTTGGACTCTTCAACGTAGCAGCAGTCGGTTACTATGCTTCCGCTCTTGGTGGAGGCTGTCAGGCTGTCTCCCTGCAATTTGTCCATGATGATATTCTGAGGGTGCAATACCATAGAGATTAAATGAAAGGCACGTTCGATTTAATTCAATTCTCACCCCATTATGTGTCTCTATTTCGGTGACTTTTCCCAGCAAGGTCCCCATGCAGTTGATGTTGCCATTTTCGCTATAGAGGCTAATGTTGGTGGCCTTCACGTTCTTGGTGAGGATTCCGCCCTCGGCCTTTACCCTCAGGAGCTCGCTTTGGATTCCCTCTACTCGCACATTGCCTTTGCCCACAGCGCAGACATCGGAACGGACGGGAACGTGAAGAACACACTCGAAGGACGTGGGCTGCTCGGTTAGCTTCTTGACCACCACGCTGACCTCCTTGTCGTCGTCCGCCACCTTGACGTCCAGCGAGACATTGGAGTTCTTGACTGGGCCACCGCACAGTTGGCTTATGAACACGTCCCCACTGGTGTACTGATGCACATCGGCGGGCTGGATCCGGACAAAGATATCGGAGTTTACGTTAATTCTGGCAAAAGGATTTACATAACGCAGGATCTCCTGGTGGACCAGGCGCTTGTTCGACGACATATTTGGCTTAAAATTTGCACGATGCTTCTTGACGTAGTGCCGCTGGTGTTTGTATATGTGGGTACACAATCGTTGCAGCAGTTGCATTATATTTAAAAAAACCAAAATTCACAACAGTTTCGGGTTTGTTTACTTTTTAAAAACAGCTGCTTTTCGGGAGTGCTCAACACTGAAGCCCGTCGTATGTCCCAGCACTGGCTGTTATCGATTGCCGCCCCGTTAGCCAACACTGCCGTCCGTCATTTTCCAGTTGGAATTTTTTCAGCCTCAGCGACAGTTGCAGTTTTAATCCAGGCCAATTTCCGAACGAATATATCAGCAAAATGTCTGGCAAAGATAGGCTACCAATTTTTCCCTCCCGTGGCGCCCAGATGTTGATGAAGGCCCGCCTGGCGGGCGCGCAAAAGGGCCACGGACTGCTGAAGAAGAAGGCTGACGCCCTGCAGATGCGATTCCGCATGATTCTGGGCAAAATCATCGAGACGAAGACCCTGATGGGCGACGTTATGAAAGAGGCGGCGTTCTCGCTGGCGGAGGCCAAGTTTACCTCGGGCGACATCAACCAGGTGGTGCTCCAGAACGTGACCAAGGCACAGATTAAGATCCGCACTAAGAAGGACAACGTAGCTGGCGTTACCCTGCCCGTCTTCGAGTCGTACCAGGACGGAGCGGACACCTACGAGCTGGCCGGCCTGGCCCGCGGTGGACAGCAGCTGGCCAAGCTGAAGAAGAACTACCAGAGCGCCGTCAAGCTGCTCGTGGAGCTGGCCTCGCTGCAGACGTCGTTCGTGACCCTGGACGAGGTAATCAAAATCACCAATCGCCGTGTGAACGCCATTGAGCATGTCATCATCCCGAGAATCGACCGCACGCTGGCCTACATCATCTCCGAGCTGGACGAGCTGGAGCGTGAGGAGTTCTATCGGCTGAAGAAGATCCAGGACAAGAAGCGCGAGGCCAGGCAAAAGGCTGATGCCAAGAAGGCGGAGCTCCTCCAGCAGGGCATTGATGTGCGCGAGCAGGCCAACATCCTGGATGAGGGCGACGACGATGTTCTGTTCTAAGTATTATCTTGTCCGGTTTATTTGGATGTTTATTCCAGCCAGCAATATTATTGTTAAACTATTGTTCTGTATCTGTTTCCATATTTTAATTCGCAAAGGCAAGCCACAAAACTTATTCGCCGTAGCAAAATGTGTGTGTAGTCTATTCCAATAAGCTGAAAAAGTATGTATTCCATTTTGTAGTGTAGTGTAAGCTGCGCAAATCATGCATTAAAGTCTTGTTGTTTCATACAAAAGGGCATTCAGTGTATTTTCCTGTTTCCTTAACGAAAAAAGGGAATTTTCATTGCAAAAAAGTCATCTGACTTGTTTTATACAATTGCAAAAGCAACAAAAACAATGACGCAGTCACATGACAGCGAACATATGTCTGATTGGAAATAGTGTTGGTAAATGGACGAGGCCGTCAATCAGCTGTTTGCGTGGCTCTTTTTGTATTTGCACGATTTTTAGCCAAACTTTTATATTTTTGTGTGAAAATGACCAATTCGGAGTTCCAGGCTGTGGTTTTGGCCGCCGGGCGAGGAACCCGTCTGCCCGAAGTTTTAGGGGATGCGCCCAAGTGCCTGCTGCCGGTGGGCCCGTATCCGCTGCTCTGGTATCCCCTGAATCTGTTGCAACAACATAACTTTTCAGGTAATTCGAGTAAGCAAGTCACATCCGGGTTTTTAATAATCTTTGTTGCCCTCCACAGAGGTCATTGTGGTGGTCCTGGAACAGGAGAAGCTGGAGATCCAACTGGCACTGGAGAATACCCCGCTCAAGCTGAAACTGGACTATGCCACGATACCCAGCGACAGCGATTTCGGGACTGCGGACAGCCTGCGCTACATATACGACAAGATCCAGTCTGATTTTCTGGTCCTCAGCTGTGACCTGGTCAGCAATGTCAGCCTATATCCGCTGATCAACAAGTTCCGAGAACACCACGCAGCCCTGGCTTTGCTCCTCTTTCCCAGCGGATTCGAGTCTGATGTGGTGATGCCAGGGCCGAAGAGCAAGCACAAGCCGGAGCGGGATGTGATTGGCATTCATGCGTCCACCCAAAGGTTAGCCTTCCTGTCCGCGGCCAGTGATTGCGAGGAAACCCTCAACATCCAGAGGCATCTGTTGAAGAACCGCGGCCGCCTGGATGTCTATAGTCGGCTGTTAGATGCGCATGTGTATGTGCTGAAGAAGTGGGTCATCGACTACCTGCACAGGGTAAAGATTAAATATACTATTTATAACTGGAGTTGCCTCTAAGATTAAATCTTTGCAGAAGGAGAATATATCCACATTTAAGGGCGAGTTCTTGCCGCATTTAATTAAGAAGCAGCATGCAAAGAGACCCCCCAAAACGGTGCAGGACACCACCTCGGAAGTGGGAATGGTGACCAAGAATGAGGATAACGTTTTGCATGTGAGTGAAGGAACACTTCCAAATTCCATCAGCTTCAATTATCAATAAATCCATATTTCAGTACGTTCCCCACACCATTCTGGACCAGAAAATCACGCAGACGTCGCTGTTCAATCAATCTCTGTCCCAAACGCCCTACCATGGCGACGTGGTGCGCTGCTATGCCATCCAGGCGCCCAAGGAAGCCATCGGAGTTCGGGTAAATAACACACTTAGTTTCCTGGCCATCAACCGGAAGTTGGCCAGCATCTGGAACGATCTTTGTGGCGAAACGCATCCACTAATCTCGCCCGGCGCCTTGGTGAAGTCCACCCAGACGAAGGAGATTATTGCGGCCGATAATGCCAAGTTGTCGGAGAAAACCTCGCTGAACTTTAGTGTTTTCGGTCCCAACTGCATTATTAACCCGAAGAATATCGTTGCCAACTCGATCATCATGTCCAACGCCGTTGTAGAAGAGGGTTGCAACATCGATAACTGCATAATTGGCCACCGGGCGCAAGTAAAGAGCGGATCAGTGCTAAAGAACTGCATTATCGGACCCAACTACGTGGTGGAGGAGGGCACCCATAGCCAGGCAGTGCATCTGTCCAACGCGGACCAGTACATGGAGATAGACATACAGTGAGCGACTAACTTAATGTGGCTTCCTTTATTAACGAATTGAGTTAGAAGGCGGATTCTTCTAGCAGGACATTAAATATTACAAATAGGTACACAAAACTCGCGCATGGATTTTCGGGCCTGACCGAGACAGAGCTGGGAGAGAGCGAGAGCTTAAAGCTACATACTTAGACGGAAGGGGAGGGGAATGTACACGAGAGGTGGATCGGATCCGAGGGAACGACAAGACTGTTTTCTGCTCACTCCGGACGCCGCAGTCCCCTTCACTTCCGCCGCTCGTAGAGGTACTCGTCCTCGTAGTACCTCGGCGTTGTGGCAATGAACACCTGCGGCCGTCGCTGCTGCAATGAAATATTTATCTCCTCGGGAGTGCGGAAGACCTGCTGATGTGGGTGCTGCTGCTGCGGCTGGAGGTGCTGCAGCTGGGGAGCGGCGGTGAAGAAGCGATACGGCGCCGGCGTCACGGTCGGCGCCAACGTCTGTGGCCTTTGCTGATGCAGCTGCAACTGCGGCTGGTGCAGTTGATGCAACTGCAGCTGCGGCTGGACTGTGGTCGCTGGCAATGGCTTCCGGTAGGCCAGGGTAGTTGGCTGAGGTTGCGGCTGGTGTCGGATCTGGGTGACCACTTGTGGCTGAGGCTGTGCCTGTTGCTGGTGCTGGTGCTGAGGTTGCTGGTACTGTACCCTAACCTGCTGGGGCTGCTGTTGCTGGGGCTGTTGGTAGGTCACAGCCTGGCGATGTTGCTGAGGTTGCTGCTGATGTTGGTGATGGTGCTGCTGCTGCTGCTGCTGTTGGTGCTGGATGCGTGGCCTTGGGGCGGGCAGCTCCTCCTCCTCCTCGTCGTCGTAGCGCTCGTGCTCGTAGTAGTTCTCCGGGAAGTAGCGTTCCGAGTAGCGCAGCGTTACATTGGGCTTGCTCTGGTGCTCCTGCAGATTGATTGGCTTGTACAGGTAGTCGTTGACAATGTGATACTTGGAGGACTGCTTGCAGATGTTGTCGTGCGAGGGCGGCATGCAGATCAAATGGATCTGGTGGAAGGTGAAGCCCTCGGGGCAGATCCATGAGTGCTTCTGGCTATCCTGGCAGTAGTGGAACACCTCGCAGCTCAGCGATTCATCGGCGTAGTATCTGCATTTAAGAGAATGTCATTAAAATTGCAATTTCAGATACTATGAAGATCGCCACCCACCCGGAGTTCCTGTCCGTGCAGCTGAAGGAGGACTTGCTCAGCAGCGTGGAGAGACGGTCCGGCTCTTCGACCTCTTCCTCCTCCTCTTCGCTCTCCTCGCTGAGGGGCTTCTTCAGCTGTCCCTGGATCTTGAGGAAGTTGCTCTGCTGCTTGGCATTCCGATTGACGTACACCTGACGCGGTGCCTCCTCCTGATCCTCCTCGCTGTACTCGTACAGCTGACGCTGCTGCTGATGCTGTGGCTGCTGACGGTAGGCCAGATGGGTCTGGGCCTGTGTCTCAAAGTCATCGAGCTCCTCCTCGCCCCCACTGGAGTTGACGTCCAGAGAGCGGGGTTCAAATCCCTTGGGCTTGGCGGTGGTGGCCGTGGCCGAGGGTGCTCCGGTGGCCGCTCCCTCCACGCTGGCCCACAGGCCAGTGGCCACAGCCAGGACTAGGAGAACAACTGGCTGGATGCTGCAATTGGACGGGCAATCAATTGATGAGTCAGGCCCTGCTTTATGATATGGGAAACTCTGTGGCAAGCACACAATCAAAGCAATAGCAAAAACGCGGGAAAATATTTCTGCGAACCTTTTCGCTTTGCCGCGAAGATGCCGCCAAATTGCATCCAAAGAAGGCAGCATCATCCGATCGTCATCGGCATCGGCATCGGCATCGGCAGCCCAGCGACCAGTTATGCAAGAGACCAGACCAGCCAGGCCAGAAAACTAGTTATAAGGCAACACGGACTGCAAGTCCCCCAAGATAGAAACGGGCCACGGAGAGTCGAGGTACATGAAGATGCCTGGGAAGGCTAGGAAAGTCGGTGGCTCTGGGAATCTTACTGATTATGGCATACGCTGAAAGAGATCCCTAATAGTTGTCATAGGTTTTCGAAACTAAAATGGAAATGGAACTGTATATCACCCCTTTTAAAACCCAAAAATTTAATTAATGCAATTAATGCATGAGGAAACAACTAATTAAGGATGTGGAACAGGAAATAACTTTATCAAAAACCTCTTTTTCAAGCTTGTTATAAAATAGTTACTGCACTGCATCTAAACTAGTATTTAAACAAGCACAAGTAATACTTATTATATGCCACTTGGTGACCCTGTTACCATAGCTTATATACCCCATCACCATGATCGGTATGATGAAGATGCACAGCTTTGCGGTGGGTTCAATTTGAACGCCATTTACCCAACGATATCCCCACTCCATTCGCCACTCGACTCGGCTGAATGTCAACTGCTGTTCATACGCATGATACGAGTATCTGTGGGTATTCCTGCTGCTGGCCACTTCAGTCCAGTCCAGTCCAATTAGCCAATGTTACGTGCCTGCCTGCATCTAATTGGGGCCATAACGTCAAAGCCCGTCGCAAATAGTTGGGCAAGGTGAAATATTTGCGAGCGGCCATAAAGGTAATAATAGCAACATGGCAAAAGCAAAAGTCTGGGACTGCGACTGGGACTGGACTTTTACTTTTCCCAGCGACTAAGTGAGTGAGTTGACTTTGAACCCGAATCGCCGACAAATTCTTCTAATGCCGGGGGCTTAAATAATAAATCTGGAGAGTTCGTCTTATGCAAGTATCGAATCTTCCAGCTGGCAATTTGTCAGCCTGTCGCTTGGCGGCAGCAGCTGGAGTTTGCAAGTTGCAAGTTGCACCTTTGAACTTTAGGAGCCTTTGGAGCTGCGGCTGAGAGAGTGCCACTGTGCACGGTGTGCGCCTGTTGCATTGTCACTGTCAGCGAGCCGAACCTTTTGCGCAACTCTCATGGGAATCTCTGGGGGAGAATCCCTCACTCATTCAGTCTTTGCAAAGCATGCAAAATAGCCAAGCGCACACACACATTCCACACGAGCCTAGAGCCTGGAGTGCTGGAGTGCTGGAGTGCTGGAGTGCTGGAGTGCTCCACTTGCTCCATTTGGCCCCACCAAGCACTCAGGCACCACTTTCGCAGTCGCAATAGCCAGTCTGTCTGCCATAAATGGAGAATTGGTTGCATGTCTCGGGATCTGTCTCTCTCTCCACTCTGGTCCAGATGCAGACGTTATCGCACAGCCAGTTACATCATATGGCAGACAGCAGCGGAGCAGGCAATAGACATGGCCGATGCGTTGATGTTGATGCTTTTCGTCGGTCTCGATCCCCCCGGTACCCCGGTTTCAGACTTGGATGCGAGTCTCAGCCCACCGCTCACCCACTTCTGGAAACCACAAGACAAGACCAGACCAGGCCAGGCCAGATCGTTGGTTTCGTTATACATTCAAGTGGAGTTGTCGTCGTGTGTGCCACCGGGTTTTCTTGCGTATGAAACTCGGACTATATTTGCTTTTGATTTCCTTAAATGTTGGGTGTGCGTCATGTTAGGCGGGCATTTTTTGGGGTGACATAAGCCTGGCCAGGCTTAGATTACGACATGGATGATAAGTGTGCTGACTGCTGACTACTCATACATTTTCCTGGCTGGCATTTGTGAATTGGTTGGATAACACCCTTAAGCTGGCCAAAGAATTAAGAGCCAACTTCACTTAGCGCACTCGCTGGCTGCCCCGCTGCTTACCAAACAACCATTTATTTTGGATTTCCCATTATCCATTATCCATTATACATACATTTTCCATTTTGCATTTTTTAACAAATTTTCCATTTACATTCCCATTTCCACCTCGGGTCTTTAGCATGTAATTTGTTTGGCTTGGCTTCGCGCGCAAGTTTGTTGCCCAAGTCTTTTGTTTTCACTCTCATCTAGTTATTTTATTCGAGTGCTTAATTAAACACAGGCTCGTTAATGCCATTAAACTGTGTGAAAACATGAAAGCCCAAAAAACGAATTACATTGCTCTGCTTTAATTTCATTTTTTCACATTGTTTTGTTATAGTTTTTGTTGTTGGTAACGAATTAAACCCTGTTAATGTGCGTGCAGTTAGTGCTGGAAATTCACGTTTGCCTGATTTCGGGCATCTGGATAATGTGCCCCGTGCAAATTGCTTGGCAATGGATTTTATGTTCCACTGTTTTTCTTCTTTTTTTTCCTCTTTAATTTTCACAAATCTCCGACCTTGGTGGGTGTGTTTTTGGCTCGATAACGGGCGAAATCTAACGAGGCGGGCCAAAAAAAAAAAACAAAAAGTGAAAGAAATCAATTCGATGGCAATTTATTAATTGCTCTCAAACACACCCCACCACAAGCGTTCAAAAACTGACCAAAAAAACAAACTATAAAAAACGAAAGCCATTACACCTTGGTGGGCGGAGAGGGTGGCAGTTTGTGGGCGTGGCTGATGGCCGATGGCCGATGGACGTTTGGCGGCACGCTTGGGCAATTGCGCATTTCTGTGCGTCGCCGTAATTCCACACGATGAAATATTGCGTATACGCAGCATACGCCGCAGTGCGTGCATTTGATACAATTGCCTCTCATATTTGCAGTCCCATTATGTAATGGAGGGGCAGCGCCACCAGCTCATGAGTAATCCACACGACTCTATGGTTTTGGTTTTTAGAAAGGACCACTCGAGTGATGCAATCTGTCACGGAGATTGGATCTCTCACCGTGTCCAGCAGGCGTGACCATTCGGAGTCCTAATCGATTGATCTAGTCTTGGACACACACACACAGAAATTATAGGCCATAATATTGACCACCTGGATTTGCTTATCCATGGATCTAGTCTGGGGAATAATAAGCTTTAATGTTTGTTTACTTACATTAAGATTAAGGATTAGGTTATTAAAATCTCTTCTATTTGTTTCCTATATTTATCTAGAGCTCCTAAAAAATCAAGTTTATTTATATAAATTACATTGTTCATTTGAGTTCTGTACTCAAAGTTGTCTTGATTCGTGACCTTTAGTTGCTAGAAAGAGCAGACTCAAGGTCTAGTCTGATTGATTAACCAAATCAAATCAAAAACCCAAGGTTTGCCCAAGACAAGAAGTTAAGACTCAAATCAAGTTCTTCTAAAAAGAACCTACTCAGCATTCTAAGTCTTATTTCATTATTTCAAAACTCCTACTATTCCTTATATATACACCCATTTTTCTTTGTGTTTTACAATCTTAACGTCTCATAAATACAAGTACAAGTAGACAAGTAATCCCCTTGGGTTTCTTTTTTTCTCAATGAACTGTCGGCAAACAAAAGCGAAAACTCCCACGCCACCACACACAGTGAAGCAGTACAACAGAAAGATATAGAAGAAAAAGTTAAGACCGACTTTGGTTTGGATTTCTGTCTCTGTTACGTTAGCTTTTTTTTTTTTTGGTTTTGAAATCATTCGCCCCAAAAGAATATTTCGTGGTTGCCAAGCAAAGCCCCGGGAAATTGGGCCGAGAGAACCCCGAGACAATAATGAAAATGTTAATTTCGGTTGCAGCACGAATCGGTAACCGCGGGTCGCCAGGCCAAGTCCAGGTTCAGATCCAGGTTTAGACCATGATTCATAGTCTCAGTTTTGTATGTTTTCCATTTTTGGGATAGAACTTACTGCATTTTGTGGCAACGTATCCGTAATAATCCAAAGGGTCTTGGCTCCGGATCACGCACTTTACACTGATCACTTGACTTGTTGAGTGTTTATATCTATCAACTATATAGATTCTGTATTTATCACTCTTGGTTTGGTTGCACTGGGCAGCTTGGTTCGTCTTCTGGCTGCTTCTGTTGCTGCTGCTGCTAGCGGTTCACTCGTCTCTGGCTCGAACAACAAAATGAATGACTTTCTTTGGCTTGTTTATGTTTTATACCAAAAAGTCCACACACAATTGAAGCCGCCCATTGAGAGTCAACAGTTGCCAGTCGCCAGTTGCCAGTCGCCGTGGAGAGGAGAACGGCCACTTCTCTGTGTATGTTTCTCTTCTCTGCAAGTTGTGCCTCTCTGGCTCTCTCTCTAGTTGTATTTCTCGCAGTGCCACTCAAAAGTATCTGCAAGTTGAGTGGAGTTTTCCTTATTGCCCGCCAAGTTCGTTTCTTAAGTCTTTTGATTTTACACAAAACGAAAAGCAAGAAAAGAATGGAAACGCTTGGGAAGAGTTTAACGATTTGGGTTAAATATGTTTGAAAAATGTATTAATATAGATTCTAGAGCATGTTTTCATCAATATAAATTAAGCTGCAATGTATACATATAAATATATAGATTTATTTAATTAATAGAAATATAGTTCAGAAATATTATTTAATATATTGCTTAAATTATTTCATAATCAACTATTTTGAAACCTGTTTGAAAGCAGTATTAACTATAATATTATATTATATTATATTACTAAAACCATTTTATTAAATTAGTATTAAACTATTTCAAGCATTCGTAGCCATTTTTTTAAGTGCCACTAAAAATTATTTTAAAACATCTAAACATATTAAATTATTAAATTAAATTATTTATATTAATGAATTATATTACATTATATTATTTATATTATTATTATTTATATTAAATTATTTATACAGTAAGTTATAGGTTTAAGAAAGACCCGCTATAGATTTTCATAATTTGAATTAAATGTTTATACTAAAAATGTGTGGAGTTTTTAAATGTTTTATACTTTATTGATTAAAATATTGATTGAAATATATTACTTTAGACAATCATTGCCAACTAGGCCTTCGTATATCACCAAGAAAAATTAAATTAAATGTTTATTTTACATATATTAAATCTATATTTTTTTTATGTGCATTTTTTAGGTAAATCAATGTTTTTCGAATATCATAACTAAGCCAAAAATGCATTAATTTCTATTCGGAGAGCTTGTCTATGTTAGTTTTTATTAGGCTAACAAATCTGCATACTCTATTTAACATTTAGAAAATATTTAAATTTTAGCCAATTTTTGAAAACGTAACCGAAGTAACCCCTTATAAAATTTTGAAAAAATTGGTAAAATTTATTTTTCTACCTGAGATAGCTAGATCGACTTAGCTGATGCTGATCAATAATATATATACTTTAAAAGGTCGGAAATGATTCCTTCACTATGTGGCAAGCTTCTGACTAAAATTAGAATACTCTGAAAGGGAAAAACTAGGCTTTCTTTACTTAATTAAATTCCATAAATATTATTTTAATTGATCATTCATAAATATGATGTAGCATGTTTTTCATGTGTCCCTCTAGCAGGGTCTTAGCCTTTTTAATCTTTTGGGCCATTAGTCATAAACCAATTGATATTAGTCATGCGGCAAGATATAGGGTGATATATGCCGATATATGTAACTGAAATGATGGCGTTTCGAAAAGGCCGGCCACACATTTGCATCCATCAGATACACTTATTGTAAGTGGCCGTCGAACGGCCAGATAGAAGCCGCTCAGATATAGTGTAATTAACATTTTCGCTGTTGATTTTCTCAGCCTTCGCTGCGCATTTTGCATGTTTTGCTATTTTCAATACAACAACAATTGCAGCAGCAGCAACAGATAAAAAAGAAATAAAAATCATTTGCGCCGGTTTCTTCACCGAGGCTGCGATGTTGATGCCGCTGCCGATGCTGATGCTCCCACAACGAAC